CCAGTGGCCGTCTGCGAGACAGCGAGACACAGCCCGAAACACACACACACCCGCAGCCTGGCTGGGAGTTTGTGTGTGTGCTCAGGCTGAGTTCCGCGGTGTCTCGCTGTTTCGCCGACCCCACACCAGTGAGCCAGCTCACAGTGTCCCGCTCCTCGCAGCAGCAAGCCTCGCAACGTCCCGCCGAGTGTGTGTGTGTGAGGAAGTCCGCGGATTGGTCCAAACGTAACGGCTCCGGGGACGTAACTTCACTATACCCAAACACGTCACTATACCCAAGAAGTAAACAATGGAAAACGAGAAATCTCCAACGAGGCGTTCTGGGGCAGCATAGACAGGTCTTTTCTGTGTTAGAGTTTTACTCGCTACAGGGTGTACTTTGAGGGTTTGTGACTCTGCAGACTGTTTACATGCATAAAAAGCTACATAACACACAAAGGGACGGGTAATAACCAGAAAAGCATGACATGGGACCTTTAAATCAAGTAAATGTGCAATTATTGGCTCATACTGGAAGTGTCAGATCATTATGTTCAATTCAGGGCATGGCTCAGCTTGCTGTGAAACCAAGGCTTATATAATCTAATAGAAAATGATTTTGTGTTTAAACCAGTTATCTCTAGATGTTTCCTCATTTTATAGAGTACTTATTGGCATTGGGTTAATTTGACATGATTTATTAAAGATGTTTAAGATTTGAAAATGTCCTATATTTTGAGTTTGAGTGAGTCCATATGGATATAAAATACATGAACAGATAATGTTTTGCAAAGATATTGGAAACATTGGAGTATAATAAACCTTAGTTATTTTTTAACCACATTATCCAAAATTAAAGTCTGACACATTGCATGACTTGATGTTAGAAAGGAACATGACAAGCTAAAGTTTGGAACCATTTCAACAGATTCATATAGTACAATTGTGTTAAATTGCTGTATATGAGATCAAGTATAGTAGGATATTACAGAATATTCAACAAATTACATCTAGCGACCTACTTGTAGCTCCAAAGAGTGATAGCAATACATTTCATCAGCCGTGTTTTAAGCCAAGCTCCTCAGGAGAATGAGCCCGTTCAATCAAACATCTAATACATTTCTTCACCATTAATATCCACTATATGCATGAACATGACTGTAAACACCTTCTGAGTGTGGAGTGAGTTGAGACTTTATTTAGAATCAGCCACTAGCAGAAGCGAAAACACCAGGGTGCTTATCAGGGGCTTTGGAGAGACACAGGAAATTGAGTTTGTCCAGTCTAATTATGGGCAGAGTCACGCAGCTCTACAGACGAACCATTTCCCTCCCATTAGCAGAGATGTGTTATTCATGAGGGCACATCCAGTGTGAACTATGCTCCACTGATATTCCACACAGTCACTTCTTGGTCTGTCAGGAGACCTGGGGCATTGTGTTTCATTTATTTATCTCCACCTCGAAAAGAAAAATGGAAGGAGGTGATGATGAGGTTGCGGGGCCATACAAGCGTATGAAGAGATATCAATAGCATTAGTCATCAGTAACCAGGAAGAGAAAGGGGTGACAGGAAGCTGCATGGAGAGAGACTTGGAAGTGAAGGACTTGTGACGAGAGTGTTAATCCACAGCCAAGACTCCAACCTGAAATAGCTGCGCCTTTTTTCTTTCCAAAAACACATTATCTATCTTTTAGAGCCTCTCTTTTATTCTGCCAAATTCCAATGGGCATATATATATTTCGTTGTGTCCAAAGCTATTTATATAATACAATCTGAGCTGAATGGCACATTGTGTGAGCTCACAATGCAGTCATGACACACATTAATTTCTTACATTTTCATTTAAGGACATTATTCCCACACAATACATGTTTTTCCTCTGAGCGGAAAACCAGTTCCCCTATTCAAAGCTCTGTAAACAAGCATCATCCAGCCTTTTATGCTTGTCACACTGACATTAACCCAAACCTGATGCATGGTTTAACGCTTGAGAATGTACAGTATGAGAATGCATGACTTAGTGAATCCATGGAGAGCTTATACAAGCACTATTGCATGTATGTGTAATGTATGTCTACATCTGTATTTAAAGTAGCACTTGGAGATGTAAATACATGCTGTGCTGAGATCAGTAAGCTGGCAGGTGTTAAAGTCTCTAGTGGTGGTGCATGTTATGCCAGCTTCAAACGAGAGCACACATGTCCTCAGTGTGGCTGAAAACAAGAAAAAGAGTGTATGCTTCTCCCTCATCACTCAATTTGCATGCATAAGAGAGTGTTACTTCAACATTCATATCATACATTCACCCCTTCTAAAGCCTCATCCGGGATGAAGTTAAGAGATTGTATTCATAGGGAAGAAATGAAGAAAGATATACGATCCCTTATCTACCAATTATTTTTATGTGTTTTTGGTCAGAGCCGTAAAAAGAGCCGTTTTGGAGGAACTGATTAAGCAGGGTAAAGAATCTATTACTTGGTTCTGACAAGTTGAGGAGAGTGAGAGGAGAGGAGGCGCATCCTCGTGTCCAACATGATTAGCAGATCACTGATTCAAATTTGTCTCGCTATCTCGGCAACATCTCCATTCTCATTCCCTCGCTCTCCTGTGTATCACACTTATCAATGTCTTTCTCTCAGATCATTTTCCTGCTGGAGATATACCTAATACTATTGACATGCATGAAGAAGTGTGTTAATGGAAATAGTTCAAGGCTTCAAAAAATATAATTACTGAGAGAGAAGAAGATCTGCTAAATGAATAATGGAATCTCTTGGATGAATTCCTACCACAGCAGGTTACTGTAACAAGAATCGTTTCATCTCAGAACAAATGTAAAAGCATACGATGGATTACATTTGTTGCATTGTGTGTGTTCTTTATGGAAAAGCTTCTTCTGTAAGGGTCAATATTCTAATCAAATGTGCACCTGCATCTCAAGTACCTGGTTGTTGCTGCTAAATGGACGCTGGAAGATTTACTGTTTCTTGTTTTGCTTATTTGTCAGATAAATAAAACAAACCTATATTTCCCAAGAGTAATGCAAAACGTTTTCAGCTATTTGCTCAGCCAGTATGCTGATATGCTTGATCAATCTTCATGGAAATGGCGTGTAGAAACAAAAAGACGCAGAGAGAGAAATTGGTGTGACAAATCTGGATATAACCAGTTATACACTAAATGATCCATGTCTTGATGCAGGTCATGACATTAAAATGTAAGCGACGGCATTTTGTGGTGCAGTGTCGTGAGCTCCTACACAAAATATCTACATGCAAACACACACCCTCTAATTCAACCTTTTTACAGTGTTCAACCATGAAGAATCACCTCATTTTGAGGGCACATTTCTGGTTCAGGAGGATGCAGGCATTTCCATTGTTGCCCAGTGGCAGGGCTTAACAAATAGGATTAGATCCGTGCCCGAGAGAGCCCACTCCTGTTCAGGTGACACACAGCTCAATGCTCCAGCTCTGCAACTAGACACAGAGAATTACTGTTAAAGGTCAGTGGAGTCAGACGCTGAATGTCACAGCTTAGCCACAGTTTGGCAAGAAAATACATTAGATAAATACGCCTGTCTCTTGGTGTAGAGTTATTTTGCAGCTCTTGAATTTCCACCATAAAAGACCCAGGATTACAGGGTGAGTTAAAAGGCAACAGAGGCATATCGATTAGATTCAGTGAATCAGGCCTCTGCTGTGCTGTGAATAATAAATTGAGCAGAAGACAGCCAGGGGTTGCCATGATGGGCTCTGAGTTGTGCTCATTCGGGATGAGATTGTGGATAAGTCATATCTCCTGTCTCAAAGATCTGGGGAATCATGTCACTGATCTGAAATCGCCTCAGAGCAGCTTACTACAACTTTAAATATGCATTCACACCCCATTTAACAACACAAAACGACTGATCGAGGCTTGCTGCAGAGGGTGGACTCTCAGCGAAGGAATTGGACTCCTAATAGCACAACTCCCCAAAGTGGCATTATATTGGAAAGGGTAATTGCTTACATATCTGCCAAGATGTAAAATCAGAGAGTGTTGAATCAGGGACCCAATCAACTTTACTGAGACATCTTGTGACTCACTGAAGCAGGTGTTATTGGTTGTTCTCTTTAGCAGACTCTGAATTGTGGGCCTAAAAACACTTAGTTGATTCAGGCAGTGAACTGTGACAAAAAGGGTCCATAATGTGCAGCAGAGGGACAATTGCAGTGCTTTGTGAAAAACAGAATGCAAAATGAAATCTCTAAATGAGACTTAATTACCTTTTTTTAATTTTGTGTTTTGCGACCTGTGACTTATGATTTCAATACACTAGTACTAGTAATAAGGCCACTATAACGTGCACTTCCAGCAACAGCGTTGGATGGCATGTCCGTCTGTCAGTCCAAGACCTATTGTCATGCAATTTAGAAATTCATGGTCATGAAGTTGGCATATGTAGTTCAGAGTGGCCAAGGTCGACATAAAGTGTTGCATGGAATTTGCTACACATACAGTAAAGGAATTTGTGCTACGAGCAGGTTTTACAGTTTTCTGTTTAATTCAACATTTTCTCAGCTGTATAACTATCCAAATCAAAACTGAACCAAAATGGTTACCTTGGTAAACGTTAATTATTTTAAATATCACCATGTTAGCATTGTCATTGTTATAGTATGTTAGCAGGATGATGTTAGCTCTAGGGGCGAGTGCAGCCTCACTATCAAGGCTGTGCTTCAAAAAGTTAAATGGCTATAACTCCATACTTAATTCCTTTTTTATTTGTATTTCCTGTCTGTCTCTGTGTGCTTGTGTGTTTGTGATTTATGTCTGTAATCTCTATTCTTCCTCTATCTCCCTCTTTCTTTCTCTCAACCTGTATGTGTGTGTGTGTGTGTGTGTGTGTGTGTGTGTGTGTGTGTGTGTGTGTGTGTGTGTGTGTGTGTGTGTGTGTGTGTGTGTGTGTGTGTGTGTGTGTGTGTGTGTGTGTGTGTGTGTGTGTGTGTGTGTGTGTGTGTGTGTTCTCTCTGCAGGCTGTGGACTGGAGTTCCTGCTGGTTCTCTGTGGGCTTGAGCTTTCATGGTCCTGCCCCCGTCACTGTATCTGCTACACTGCACCCAGCACCGTCTCCTGCCAAGCCCATAACTTCCTGTCAGTCCCTGAAGGCATCCCCCATGACAGTGAGCGCATCTTCCTACAGAACAACAAGATCCATCGATTGCTTCGGGGTCACTTCAGCTCCAATACAGTCACTCTCTGGATCTACTCCAACAACATCACATACATCGAGCCGTCCACGTTCCACGGCTTCACGCGGTTAGAGGAGGTGGATCTGGGAGACAACCGCCACCTGCGCTCCTTGGCTGAAGACACCTTCCACGGGCTGAGTCGCCTCAATGCGCTTCACTTGTACCGATGTGGGCTCAGTTCACTTCCTAGTAACATCTTCCAAGGCCTCAGAAACCTGCAGTATCTCTACTTACAGGTACATTCAACTGTTGTTTTTAAGAGCGTTTTACCACCAATACTCTATTAGGGCTGTCAATTTCAACAAGAACAAATTCGAACCAACACCTATTCTATGTGAATTAATTCGAACACAACCCACGTAGCCCAATTCTAAACGATGTTGTAAAATTAATGTGTTGTTTATTCACAGTGCCTCCGCTGCCTCACTTGAGTGACAAGCTGGCAGGTGCATTTTACCACATCAGCACACAGCCTTAACTTTATCAATCATTTTTCCATCTGTGCTGCTAAATCCCAAATTCTTTCACACATTACTTCTCAGATGGTTTGGATTATGAATTCAGCACTGCTTGATCATTCTCCCTTTTTCAAATATATAAATTTACAAGGTACAGCGTGTTGAGATATTCACTGAGAATTTTGAATTTCAACAGATGAACACATACTTTGCATAGTATGCTGATTCACACAATGTGTTCAAGGCAAATGCTACAGTCAGTTTGTGCAATAATGAAAACATTGCATAATATATAATCGTGTGATACTGTCCCCTCTGCACCTTCTCAGGAGAACCATCTGAAGTACCTGCAGGATGACACATTTACAGACCTCCACAACCTGAGCCACCTGTTCCTGCATGGAAACCGTCTATGGAGTCTCAACCAGAACACCTTCCGAGGCCTTCGAGCCCTGGACCGACTGCTCCTGCACCAAAACCAGATCGAATGGGTTGACCGCCTGGCCTTCCACGACCTGAAACGTCTCACCACCCTCTACCTGTTCAACAACACCTTGATACAGCTGTCCGGACAGTGCCTGGACGTACTTCCCGCATTGGAATACCTGCGCCTCAACGACAACCCCTGGTCATGTGACTGCAAGGCTCTGTCGCTGTGGGAATGGTTGAAGCGTTTCGGAGGTTCCACGTCTTCAGTGGTTTGCCAGGCGCCAGCTGATTTGGTGGGTAAGGACCTCAAGGTGCTGCGCAAGGAAGACTTCCCCAACTGTCCAGCGACTGTACCTAATTCTGAGTCCAGAGCCCAGACTAACAATGTATCTGGCACGGTGAATCCGTCCATGAATCACAGTGTAGTGGTGGGCTCAGGAGGGCAGACCCACTTAGTGCACACCTCGAGGCGCTCTCGAAACTGCACAAAGCCTCGCAGCAGGGTGAGCAAGGGGAAGGGTGACAATGAGGTTCACCACTCAAAGGAGGTCATGGGCGACAAGGAGGATGCCTCCCCGGATTTAACAGAAGGGGGCAAACATGACCACACGTCCCCAGACGGCACTGTCACGCGGAGGAAGCACAAGTGCACACCCCGGACCACTGTTCGCCCCCCTAGTGGGGTTCAGCAAGCCAACAATAGAGCGACCTTATCCCAGTCATTACTACATGCCTGTGCCCTCCTTGTGGCCTTAATAACGACAAATATTGACTTCATTTTCCGTTGACCTTCAGAGGGTTTTGCAGATGCTAATCACAAAAAAGCACAGCCCTCAGACCCTCTCTTGCTCCTGCACTACAAGGCCTGTGTGTCTTTTATGTATGTGTGTGTGAGTGTGATTATATGTGTAAATGTAGTGTAGGGAGCTCTAGTGTTCAGACTGAAACAGGCATTAAAGCATCAAACATCTACAACAGAAAGACTTGCAGCACAAAAATCGAAGCGACTGAGGGACATAGAATGATACAAGGTTAATGCTTGCACTGCCACTAATGCCAGTATGATTTAATCTTCATATGTCTTGGCATCTTATGTATTTTATTATGTCTACAATTTACTCAAATGGAGTTTAGATAACCAAAATCTGGTGCAAAATAGGAAGAGATGACGGAGCAAATGAGAAAGTTTAAAACCTGAAACCTGTTAGCTATTTAGCTCGGAGACAGATGAGCTAGGTCTTCGAGTGCTCCATCCAGCTTTTAGCTCCAGTTCACAGTTTGTTCGTTATCAAGAAGGTACAAATGGTAAATCAATGACCCTGTAAACTCTCTGTCGTCAGTCCAACCTTGCTCTCATCCTTTCTGCCAAATGTATTTTGTCCGAACAATTGGGTGTAAGTGTTTCTCGTAAACAAATAAGTACAGGTTTAGCATGGCAATAAATTGTGGGTCAGTCTAAGACATAGGAATGTGCCATTCAAACAAAATGGAAACATATAGCCACAGATTTTAAAGCTATAAACAGAGCAACCATAAGCTCACAGTGTATTAACTACTCTCTATATAACGCTGACTTTTTCCAGGTACTGAACCAAACTTTCTGCCAATTCAAACTTGTTTCTCATTCGTATTAGATTCATACACACAACTCTGCTTCAATCTTCATTTACGCCACTTCTCTCCTTCCGGGCAACTGAATATTAAGCCGCTAATTGTTTCAATATGGCAAGGACTGCCATGCGCTACTTTCATTTGCTTGGGAAACAATATGTGTCTCTGGGATTCCAAGCTGTGAATATTGAAGAAGTCTGTCTATATCTTGTGTCAGATGTTGTTCATTTGATTTTTCTAAGACACCAAATGGACCTAGAGATGGATCCTTGTTGTGTCACAAGGAGTCTTAGAGGCGAAGGGTCAAAGGGGGGCTTTCTCAGTTTCCCAGTGATTTTGTGCTGAACTGATGAATGAGGGCGAACCTCCCTCATTGAGAATGTGAGGAACACATATTTTTTCAATCACTTAACTTTAAAGGAATACAAGAACAAGACTTGAGAAAAAAATGTGTGTACCTTCAATGTAAAAACATTTTAAAAAGGAGCATGGCAAAGATGGGATCATGCAGAGTGAATAATGCCTCTTAATTAACTGTGTGTGATGTGATTGTCCATGAATGACGGGATCTAAGACCAAGACAATCGCTTCTGAAGTAACAAGGGGGTGCAGAGCAATGCAGATCGACAGATGGACGATTACGGGACATCTTGCTGTACTTCTGGAGCTTTTGTGCCTCCCATAAATCTACTGATAAGATGGTGTTTGTATCAATGATGTGAACTATACCTGTAACAATGGAGACAAAAGGACTTCTTGCAGTGCTGATATTAATCATTTACTGTATTACTATGAGAAAAACAATATCAGTGACATCGATGATAACAGGGTTTTCTGCTCCACCTGTCAGGAGGAGTTTTTCGACTTTTGATTTTCTGGTGATTTGTTGATTTACGTATTTTTCATGATATATTTTTAGAACCTTTGATTTGTTAATGCACAATTCCTCACCTACCTTTTTCTTGTTCTACTGTATGCCTCTTCATCCACTTTCTTTGCCATGTTTCAGTTGTTCAGTAAATTATCATCAGAAAACAACAGTACAATATGTTTATAAAGATATTAAAATATATATCTTCTTATGTCTACCATTGCAGTTTGAGTCTGTTTATTGCTGCTTTGAAGGTTTTATGTACTTGTTTTGAAAAAAAAGTAAAAGGCATGCTCAATCCCCTCTTCTTGCCTTTCTTTCCTTCAAATGTATTTTAAAGCGCAAATTGATTGTCTTCAGCATATATATATATGGTTTTTGTTTTTTTGTCTTTGCTCTAGTTGCTGGCTTAGCTGCTTCCTACAAACAGACACTTTTTCTGTGCACATAAAGGATGAATATACAATTTACAAACTAAATATTAGTGAAATGTTGGCTTCAATTGGATTAAAAAGCCAATTTTCCATTACAACCTACAGAAGGTCCTGACCAACAGGACAGAAAAAATAAAATCCAAAGTCGACATGCAGACTATGGTTTGATATATTGCAGTTCAATAAATCATTTGAAAGCACTGAGCATATTAATGAAAGTGTCACATGGAATCTGTAGATATTCTAGGCTATTATTATTATTATTAATGGGCCTGTGGAACATAAATTCTATTACCCCTTCTTTAAATTCCCTTCACCGGGATAGAAATTGATCCACAAGTAAGTGTTCCAATTTATATTTTTTTTAAACATTTTGTTAAATGATAAATGAGCTCAGAAGGAGTGGTTAAATGCATGGTCGAGGACACGGTGTTATTCTATTCTAACTGATAGCCGTTCTGGCATCTGGTGTTTGATGCTCACACTCACCAGCTTTCACTCTCAGTTTATCCAACACCCACTTCATCCCTTCTCATACTTTGTGAACCTCCCTCTGATCTTTGATTTTCATGTACAAATCTCACTTAAATCATTCTTGTTGGTTACAAGATTAAAAGTGTTTTCATGGCACAGACACAAAAACTGTGAAATTGAATCTAATTAAATTAAATGAATGAAACTACATCAAATTGTATTACACAAATTGTAGATTTTGTTAAAACCAAAATCCCACAGACATAGTTTAATGTTTTTGATTTGATGATGATGATGTACACAGTTAAAGTATGTCTTAACATTTGAGGAGAATAGGAAAATAGAGTCAATATAATCCATAATGATGAAGTCCATAGTCGGCAAAGACCGATTTTCTTTCTTCCATGTTCATGTTTGAGTGAGCTGAATGAGATGTTAAATGATAAACAGGAAAAAATTGAGCCGTCTCTGCATCCATTTGTATCTATTTACTGGAGCTGATGGGGTGTGCATTTTCTAATAAGCTTGTTCACATGCACATAAACATCCATCACTGTAATTAAGGTGAAAAAGCATTAACAAAGTGAAGTGCGAGAACTTTGTAAATGGGACAATAAACCTGCTTATTTGCTGTGCTATATAGAACATTTTATATTTTTACATAAATGTTTATCTTCACTGACTGTAAGTTCAACTAAAGGCAACAAATGTTTAGTTATATATATATATGGAATTTTAAAAGGGATTCATTTAAATTAAGGATGTACTGTCCCTCTTGAGGGTGAATTTAACTGTCTTAATGGTAATTAAACTGCTCAATTTTGGACATAAAATATTCATTCTACACCAGTATGTGTGATAGCAGAATCGCAACTCAAGGCAAATATGAAGAGTTTTCATTCTAGGACACGTGATGACATCTGAATCAGAGACATCCAGTGACTGCAACCTGTGGGTGAAGGCTCTCACCATCACTCATGTCCAGTGTCCTTGTGATGTTCCCTCCTTCTGCACGTGAGTTCATACACTACACCAGTTTTCTTCTGGAGAGGGGTGCTGTCTATAGGGTGAACACCTCAAAGGATCTCAACATCTGCGCTCTTCAAGAGAGTTAGAAGAGAGGATTGATGTGCCCTACTGTATGTCTGTTGTGAAACTACAGCCAGCAGATGGTTAGGTTAGCTTTGCATAAGGACTGGAAACAGGGGGAAAGAGGAGGCAGCTATGTACAAAACATAGACAGTGGTCTAACGGGGCCTTAAGCCCCAAATGCCTTCAGCAATAACAATAATCTTTTGCTGTTTATCACACATGGCATTTTTTTTATTATAAACCCATTACTTGTTCTTGGCCAGAATGAAAATGTAGATGTTTTTTTTTATCTTTATGTCAAGCTTAGCATGAGTCAGACAAGAGAGTGGCATACACCATGTCATTGAAGGCTCAGAAAAAAAGAAAATTATCATATTTTTTAAGTGCTAAATTAAAGGTGTTAAACGTTTTCTGGTAAGTGCTTACTTGAGATGTAAGGAGAGTCCGTCAAAACCAGAGATTGCATCAGCTGTAAAGAGGCCAAGTTTTTTACTGGAGAAAGATCAATGAAGACGATGAGATGTGCTTGGAAGCAATCAATCGATTCATAAAGGAACCAAACAAACAATTAGACATCTTACAGTGACAATATTTTAATTCCAATCTTATCCAATTATTGTATCACTGGTCAATATAAGAACACATCTGAGATGGTCTGACAACGATAAGACTAACTTTTCCGTGTACTGATTTTTATTTTTACAATCTCTGCAGCAACTTTAGATGCAAAACTGGACTTCAATTTGAGAGACGACAGGTAAGAAAGTAGCCTGTTCACAAGCTAATAAAGCACAAATAGTCATCTGATGAGCCGATGGGTTCCAATATGTTTTTCCAAAGAGTTCTGTTTTGCTCTCTTTGGCAGCTGGAGCAAATGTAGATACAAAACACTGAAAACACATTTCACTTAAACTTCGGGCACTGTTGTTGGAATCTATTTCAGCCAGAGTTATTGGTCGCTTGTTAGTGGAGAGTATTACACAGAACTGTCTTATTTTCCCAAACTTTGAGGTAAATTAGTATCTGACTCACAGATACTCTCATCTGACTTGACCCAGTTATTTGGAAAATATATCAAAGGCAAGGCTGTAATTGTAATTGTCTCATTGTAGATGAAATCTAGGAGTGATCAGCGAGGACCCAGTTCGGCTGGCAGATCCTCTGTGTAGAACCAGGTAGGACACCAACTATATCGTTAGAAGCCGGAGCCAAAATCCTGCTGCAACATTAAAAGACGGGATGAGGAGAAATAACTTCTTAAATGCAAAATGGGTTATCATTAAGGAAAATGAGAGAAGCGGAGGGAGAGAGAGCGGAAGGCTGCAGCACATCAGTAATTGAACGGTTAGAGATACAGGAATAGGCTGGGATGCACGCGGGAAGAAAAGACACACCAAAGCGACAAAATATGAGATATCACAGGAACGAGACAAAGAAGAAAAAAGAACATAAACAGTGAAATAATGAAAAGAGGTGTTTCAAACATTACAACAGTCCAGCAGTCATGTTTAAATACACAACGCACCACAAAGCCCTCATTACACATCACCACAACCCACTACAGGCCTCCCAATATAGCACCAGCATGTGCGATTTCACATCACTTATTCATGCAGAGAGAGGCAGCGTGTTGATTCATCCTGAGACGTGACGCTATTGTGGAAGCAAAGCTCCGACAGAAATACCCCTCCACAAAAAGAAATGCAGCCTTCCACTATCTGTGCCCATTTCTTGGCTTTTAATTGACTCACTGTCATTTCTGTGTGGCTTTAATTAAAACCAAGCAATTAGAAATGAAAAAAGGAGATGAAGAAAGTGGGTGAGCTGGGAAGGGAGACGGCGCACTGGGGGATATGATAATTAAGAGCAGACACACCATAAAATGCCTCAACACTTGCACCTAGTGTGACTCTCCACTCCCGCTCGGAGTCCCAGTCTCCCCACTCAATCACAAAGCTAATATCACCTCTTTCTCTATAAAACCCTTTCTTATTCCAGCTCTTTTATGTTGTCTATTTATTTAGCTTAAAGTCCCCCCAGAGCGGCAGTGTGCTCCAATTCTCAGAATCAGCCCGCCTGCATACTAAACTGAGAGGACTTGAGCAGCCCGAGGCCACACCACCACCTGCATGGATTAGAGGCTCGCTAATCCTCTCATGTTTTGACCTCAAGTCAGACGAAATATGCAGAAACATTACTAAAAGTCTACGTGGAATGTTTCTCCATAACAATACACCTAGGTTAATTGATGAGATGGAAAAGGAGGGGTCTGATTACTGCAGTCTTTTCCTAAATCAAATGTCCCTGTTGCTGATTTATATCGGGAAATGCTGACTGTTGAGTGATAGGTGGAAGCCAAGGTCTGAGCGGATTTAACCTTTACCCCAAGACTTGTGACTTGAGGGTTTCGGAATCTATAAATAAAAAAATAAGATGTTGATGATGGTTTCCAACTCTGATATATGCTAAATGAATGTAAATGTTTTGGGAATAAGGCATGGTGTACTGGAGTAGTTGGGCAATCTGGTCCAGCAAAAATAGACCTAGCAAGGAAAAACTAAGTGTCGAAAGGAGACATGGGTCCAGTAAACATTAGGGGAAAAGGCACCATAAATGTCAGGGATAATCTTCATTGCAGAGGAACTGTGCACATCTACAGCAAGCAATGTAGGTCAACGTTTGATTAGAAAGACATCTGACATGTGTGGCTATAATTTCACCATTTGCTGTCGTTTCCCCTACCAAATCAATTTGAATAACCTGACGATTGGTTTAACACCTGTTTAATTGCCTGGTTGACGTCTTGATAGCCAATTAACCCTGGTAAGTACAGTGTAATTTATGTTGGCTAAAGCTAGGACAATTAGACCCGGGCTGGATGCAATATAAATTCACCTTCAAGACAGCAGCACTTCTCTGTTTCTTCTATTGAGCTCGCATCCCTGTTGAAAAGGTCTGTTTTGTCCTGATCAATGCCAACAATTAACACACGCAATCAATTGAGGAGGCCTGAGGAACACAGGCGTCATCCTTTGAGTGTGACGAAGCCCTGGAGCCCATCACTCCTGGAGGGGTACACGCTCCAGTCAAGAGGCTAATGACACACACAGCACCCCACCCCCCACACAATGAATCACTCCTGTGGTGGATCTGCCAGAAGCTAAACTCCTCTTCACAGCAGCATCTACCGTTTTCTCAGGGT